TAGCAGGCGTGGTATTTTAATCAGATATATGTTTAGACAGTGAAAGAGTTACGTTTGTCTTGGAGGACTGTGGGCTATGAAGACATGCGTCTGCTGAAAATGCTTTCATTAGCCGAGGGACTCTGGATGGGGAGCGCAGAGGCAGCTGAGTCTTATAACTCACCCAAGATTATTCTGACAGGCACTCTAATTATCTTTACATGCTGCATTTTATTTTGGATGGAGTAACTCGTGCGAGACCATAATTAAGGTCTCATTGTTTTGAAACGTAGCACACAAGGGATGAGTAAGACTTGGATTTTCCAATGAAGGGTTCATTGGCGTTTTGGTATTTGCTGTACGCTATCCCGAGGTCCTCGCTGTTGGTCAGGAGCGGCTCTCAGCACCTTTGCCTTCGGGTGCCTCGCTGGCTGAGTGGGCTGTGGGCCGCTGCCGGTGGTGAGCGCGGTGGTGCCGGCTGGGGAGCGCCGACGCGGAGCAGCCTGCGGCCGCGTGTGACAGTGTGGGACGAGGTGCTGGTCGTGGCCCTGGGGACAGCGTGCACGGGGGCAGGAGGCGGCAGGAGGGGGGCAGGCAGGGAGAGGGCACATGAGCAGGAGTCTCCATCAGAGCTGGGGCTGCTTTCAGGTTCCTTTTGCTTTGCTGGGGCACTTCTGGTGATAGCAATGTTTGAATTTATGAAGACGCTCAGAGCGGGGAGACGAGCAGAAGGTGCATTTTGAAGGGACTTTTCACGTTGGTGGTGTCCGTGGTCGTTGTGTCCATGGCACCCTTAGCGCGACAGAGGAGCGGTACTGGGGGATCCCCGGGGGCGCAGGGCTGTCCCACTGCATGGCGGCTGCTGGGGACGGTGGTTTTGGTGATGCTCAGCTCAGGCAGCGTGGGGACCTCTGCGGCTCCATCAGACCGATGCTGCGGTGGCAGAGCGACGGCCAGACCTTCCTTCTTGCCCCGGGAGCCAGCGGTGGCACGGGCTGTGCCGCCCGGGTGGGCTGGCTGCTGGAGACAGGCAGGGCTGGGGCTCACAAAGATGTGCTCGGTGTTTTGTAGACCCAAGAGGAGGAGTTGTTTGGCAATAACGAAGAGAGCACTGCCTTCAAGAACTTCTTGAGTTTTCTGGGAGACACCATAACGCTCCAGGACTTCAAAGGGTAAGTTAAATAAAAAGAATGATTTTACAAATACATTTAAAGAGAGACCATGTCATATGTAAAAATAACTGCTGTGCGAGAACAGAAGTCATCTCATGAGCGGGCTGTACAGAGCAGAAGCAAATATAGCTTTGGCTTGTTTTTCTAAGCTGGGGGAGTTTTCCAAAAAAAAAAAAAGAAAAAAAAAATGGAGCTGCCAAGAGAGAAAAACTTCCTCTGCTGCAGTTTTGAGGTTGTGAGAAAATCTGACTAGATTCAGCCGTAGATGGAAGGAGGTTGTATGAAAACATGCCCTGTCCGGTGCTGTGGGCTGAGCCGCGGTGCGGGCAGAGACCCCGTGCTGCTGGCGAGGGCCGCAGCCCGGGCCCCCCCCGGCGGCACCCCCGGCCCCCGCCGGTCCCGTGGCTGCGGTTGGCCCCGGCAGAAGGCACTGCTCTGCCGCGCACCCTGAGTTTCCGTCGGGTGATGGCGATGCTTGGTTACAATACGTGACGCACGGTTTGTTCTTTCCCATTTGCTCGCTACTAGATGAAGATAAATGAGCTGGGTTGTGCTATCACCCTGTCCCCTGGCAGCTGCCGGCGGGCTCTGCTACGCTTTCAATTAATATTTTTTCGTTTCTCCCCGCCTTTCCCTTCGTCTCCAGTTTTCGAGGAGGTCTGGATGTCAGCCACGGGCAGACGGGAGCAGAGTCTGTGTACACGGTGTTCAGGGACAGGGAGATAATGTTTCACGTCTCCACAAAGCTGCCTTTTACCGAAGGAGACACACAACAAGTAAGAGAGACGAGCTTCCTTGCACAGGATTGTCTGAGCCGGGATGCGCTGGCGCTGCCCTGC